TGAGCTAGTGTCAATGCCCAAGGACTCTCCTAAGTCCAGGAAGATGGGAGGCAGTGATTTCTCTTCCAGTTTGTATACTGATCGGGCACTTCATACACTGACTTATACCTAAAACAGGTTTATAAAAGTCATCTAAATGGCTTTAGAGGTAACTTTTTCAGGCACAAATTCTCATTTACAATTATAGTTTGTGGAGAGCAGTCAACCTGAGAAAACATGGTGTGACCTTTAGATGCATGCAGAAGTGCGCTTCTGTGAGCTTCATTAGTAATGACTATGAGAGCATTTCCATAAGAAAACACTATCTGCCTCTTGTTGCCAGTTTTGTTGTCTGTTAGTTATCTTCCTGTTGTTGTCGTCATACTCATACCCGATACTGCAGGGCAGTATGAGGCTAAAGGAAGGTATATGTGTTTATCGGATTTTGCCCCAAAAACCTCAGAGAAATTACATGGCACCAATTGTTTTTATATCTTCAAATGATTTACATACTAAAGCAACTGGTTTGCAATCCATTTCCTCTTCCCCCAATTTTCTGCCCGCTAAAAGAATAAACCTGAGGCTGGTTCTGGTCGCAACTTCTCAGAGAAGCTGTGCCCACCCGATCCTTACTTTTCTATACTTGTGTGTCTTTGTACTGCGTCTATTTCTAATCCACAGCCTTCCCCACTCAGAAAAAATGTTCATGCTAAGCTGATTCCAGCAACTCAGGGATTGTTAAAGGACAACAGCAATAATGGAGACTCAAGAGGAATTTATAGTTTTGCCTATGTAGGAGAATTGGCAAGTTCCTTTCTCCCAAAACTATCCACCCTCTTTTCACTCCTCAGCCTGAAAAAAGTAATTTTCAACTCTAGGGAACATTCCTGGCAGGAACAATGCACCTGACTCTCCATATCTGAGAAAAAAAAATATTCGAAAATTGTTTTGGAATACTTCCTCTGTTACCAGTAGCATTCAGGGAGCCACATATGAAGTCCTGTCATCTGGAAACGAGCATTCATCTGCCCCACCAGACACTTGAACTATTTCTCAGATACAGCAAGGAGCCCACCGTGGATGGCTGTTACATCAGGCAAGTCTGACTTGCATGTGGATGATAAAACCAAAGAACATTCCTGATTACTGACCTCCAATACTGTGAACCTCCAAATCACTGTAAAACATATACAAATGGTCCCTGCCATGGGATGGCTGTCCTGGCAGTTTTCCATTGGGGTGTTCGCCTAAGTTATGCACTTGAGTTCATATAAGCTGAGAACACACATCTCTCTTACCAAGCATTAATGTTTCTCTCCTAGGCTGCTGTGTTTTTCTCTATTCAGCAACTGGGCTTTCTGTTGTTCTCCTCTGTTCCCTCTTACCACCCTTCCCCCCAATTAATGAGGGTTCTCCAGAAAAATAGAATCAATAGGATGTATATAAATATTTAAGAGGTGGGCTGGCTCTGTGCTGCTGAAGAGAAGCCAGATTCCACATGGCAACCACGGTTCAAATCCCTGGCCTAGTCAACCTGAAACACACAGGGCATGCATGTGAGTGCACAGGATCCCGTGAGTTGGAGGGTTGGAGGAAGGGGATCTGTGTGACCAGACCCTGTGTAGGACATCTCTCTCTCTTTCCTCTCTCATGCACACATGTTCTATCATGAATAAAGAAAGATTTATGATGAGAATTTCATACAATTCTGAAGGCTGAGGTCCCGTGATCTATCATGGGCAAACTGGAGAACCACGCACGAAAGCTGGTGATGTAATTTGGTCCAAGTCTGTAGGCCTGAGAACCAGGGGAGCTGATATTATAACTCCTAGTCTAAAGGCTAAGGCCTAAAAACTAAAAAAAGTGGGGGTACTGGTAAGGTTCCAAAGCCAGAAGGGCTGAGAATCAGGATGATTTTAGTCTGCTCCATATGGATTCATCCTCCCATGAAGGATGAAGGCAAGCCCATACTTTTTCACACAATGATAGAATTTCCAGCAGCCAGGGCAAGCCACAATGTTCAAGCATATCTCGAGCCTAAAATTGCATCATATTTGTTAATGTCCATTTGCCAAAGCAGGTCACAGGGTAAAGCTCAGACTCAGTTTGGGAAGGAAATATACAGTAGTATAGATTGAGGAAGGAGATTCTTTGTGTGTGTGTAGGCCCTGACTGTAACAGTTTATCACAGAGCTATCCGTGGCAGTTGAAGAGTATATGAGAGGCCTGTGAGGAGAAAGGACCACAGTCTGAAACTGAACAGGAACCATCTAAAAGGGCTAGGCTCTCAGTCTCCCTCTTAGGTTATAAAACAACAAATAAACACCCACCCCCCCCCGGGAATTTCCTAAGCTGAAAATTAGTAAGATCTGAATTAAAAGTAAAGTAGCTTTCTAAACTAGAATGCAAGATTCATTTAAATTGTTTAGCCCAAGTAAGACTTGAGACTAAACTTTGGTTACACCCACCCCATGTGTTATATACACTGTCAGGGGCAACTATAGATTCTGAAAAAGAGAAAGAACAGGGCATCAGAGAAAGCCTTATAAAGAACTATGCAAAATAGGACTTCAGGGCAAGCTCTATGTAACTATTAGTGAAGATATAGTATCTACCTTTTATTTACAGTAGAATTTATTACAACTGTAGCTTTAATTCCTTATAATTAGCATTGGAATCCACCAGAGCTTGGGGCCAGCAGATGGTTTAATGGTTACATCACTGTACTCTCAAGTAGTTGACCACAGTTCAAGTCGCAGACCTGGTGGCTTAAAACTTACGGTGGGTGTGTGTACATATGTGCCCCAAATCCTGAGAGGGAAAAGGGTTTGCAGCATGGCCACTACCCCGGGGGTGATATCTTACTTTCTGTCTCTGTCTCTTTGACAAGCACACAAACCCTATAGCAATCTCTTTTAAAAAAAAAATTCACTAGAGCTTTGTAGCCAGGTATTGGCTACCTTCATGCTACATGGTATTTTTATTGTTGTTCTATAATAAAATCACCTATATTTAGGAACAAATTTGTCCCTTTTTATTTCAATCTTTCC